TGGGGAATGCACTATCACAGTCTTCCTTTTAAACAAATAAAACTAAAACGTAAAAAAAAACAAAAACAATGGCTGTTGAAAATAGCAATTCCAGTCCTAATAACCACTGGGAAGCATTTCTTGCTCAATTTATTCTACTTTTTCTACAGCAAGTTACAGTGGATCAGTATATTTGATTTGGGGGAAATGAAGTAACAGCTGCCCAAATTGAGCTTGAGCACGCCTGAATTTTGAGGGTGTTCAAATTTGGAAGGCAGGTGCTAGATTTCCTTTCTGAATATTAGCTAAATCTGGAAAGGAAAAGTCAATTTCTGCTTCCATGGCTCAGAAGTGGAAATCCTCCTACGTGCCTGGTACAGTATCTAAAGCTGCCCAGGTCCAGAGCCTCTCCTCCCTTACTTTTCATTTTAAATTCTAGTAGGATCCACATACCTCCCTTGCTAGGCTTCAGATAGAGAGGTGCACCGTCCATTTAGTTCCCCCAATTCCGTCTTTGGGGGAGAGCCCAGGGCTGGGATGGCAGGAGGTGCGAGTGTGGGGGAAGAGCCCAGGGCTGGGGCAGCAGAAGGGTGCAGGTGGGGGCCAGAGCTGGGGCGTCAGGGGTGTGTGGGGGGGGGAAGAGCCCAGGGCTGGGGTAGCAAGGGAGTGCAGGTGAGGGCCAGAGCTGAGGCAGCAGGGGGTGTGGGCGGGGGAGAGTCCAAGGCTGGGGCAATACAAGGGTGCGGGGGAGGGGGGGGCGGCAAAAAACCTAGAGCTGGCTCTGTTCCTACCATTCACAGCAAGCTGCAGATTTCAGTTCCATACTCCTTCCCTCACCCTTTCCTGTTGCTAGTGGCCAAAGGAATGCTGGGAAATGTAGTTCTTTCCCTGCTCCAGGGCTGGCTCTATAGGCAGTGAGCTAACCAAGGAACTACAGCTCCCAGGGCCCCCTGTTGGTTCTCAGCTCCCATGCTGGATTCTTGCGCCCCTTGCAAATCTGCCGCCCCAAGCAACTGCTTGCTTTGCTGGTGCCTAGAGCCGGCCCTGGCCCAAGCTCTGGGACCCTTCCACCTTGCAGAGTCCTAGAGCCCAGGCCCCAGATTATCTCTTATGCCAGGGAAGGCAGAACCAGGGTCAAGGGGGCTAGTGCCCTTATGTAAACTCTCACATGCCTGTGGGGGAGGGAGCAGAGGTGAGAGGGGGACCCAGAGGGGTTGGAGCAGCCACCATAGGGCCCAGGTGCTGGCAGGGTAGCAGGGAGTGGGACCCAGAGGGTCTGGAGCAGGCCTGGAAGCAGGTAGGAACCCCCAGAACCCTCTTCCCACCCTGGAGCCGGCTGTCTCCCCTCCCCTGCTAAGTCTCAGTACCTCCCTTCCTGTCCCTCCACCCCTTCCATTTGCAGGGAGTATCTGCCTCTCCACTGCGGGCCCCTGCAATCATTCCATAATCTCCTTTTTCTCCTCTCCCAAATACCCCAAACCAGGGTAGTCACATATTTTTTGTCAAGGTCCAAATTTCTTGGTCAAGGTATAGTCAAGGTCTAGACTCCAGAGAAGATAATAAAAAAGTTAATAATAATAAGTAAATAAAAAGAAGTTGGGGTCCAGTCAAAAGCATCTGGTGGTGTGGTTTTGGCCACAGTCTGCCTACTGACTACCCCTGTAATGGAGCCTCTGCACTGCTGTTTCCCTGATTGGATAGACCAGGAGCAGTGCCTACCATGGGGCTTGTAACAATTCCCAGGAACTCCTGTGAACCTCATCCAGACCATCAGCCAAGACCTGTTACTTAGGTGGCATGCTCAGGTTTGGGCATGGGACCCAAGGGGGCTAAGGAGTGCAAGTAATAATCAAGTGTGCATGTGGCAAAAAACATGCCTTCATTGCAGTGTCTGTCAGGGCTTCCACTGCTAGGAACTGTTGCCTGCTAGTGAGAGTTACCTCAGTGAAGCCCCCTTCTAATAATAAATGTAACAACTGCAGCATTACTCCAGAAAATGAATTATTTAATTCAGAGGAAGGTTGGACAAGAGTGAACAGAAAGCAGGCTGCTTCCCCCCCATATATGGCAATTGAGCCTCAGAGTAACAGACCATGAGTTGCGCCCTGCTTCATTGGACCTTGAATGCAGAAGTGATCATCAGTTCTATCATTGTCTAACAAGGGAAATACAGACGTTGTATTCTTGTGGGCAGTCCTTGAATGTGGCCTCAGGCCCATGTGCATATTAATCAGGCCAAGAGAGGGGCGCTTATCTGTTCGGACGCCAACTCTTTGGGCTTCAGCTTTTACTCATCCCTTCTGGGATTCCATTGTTTTTCACTTACTCGCTTCTGTTTTTTCATTCGTCATGCCCTTCCCCGCTCCTCTCTGCCTTATTGATGACCCTCTAGCCTAAACCATCATGGAACACTTCACTTTGTCTTTTCTGATACTGAACACAAGAAAGTTCTGGAGCCTAAAAGAGAGAGAACACTCTTCCACAGTCCTGGCCTAGGAAGCACACAGAAAAGAACTCTGTGTGCGTATGACCTTGTCCCAGACCTCAGACAGCAGCAGTACTACAAAACTGGAAGAGGATTCTGGGTACAGCTGAGCACATCAGGCATCCCACGTTACCATGCTGTAACGATCTTTAACCAGGTGAAGAAGGGTCCACGGCTGGTCTGAGTAAACTCTACACTGATCAAAAGCGAAGTGTAGTGGCTCTTCTGAAGCTGCTTGGGCTGTGTGGTATGCTTGTTCACTTGTAATTATCACTTGTAATTTTTGCTCCCAGCTCACCATTGGATCACACTGTAAATTTCCACACATTATGTGCCCTCAGCAAAAACTTAGCTTTCCTGAAGAAAAAAATTTCTGTTTTTATAGCGAAACCAGATTTTACCTGTAACAGTAAAATAGCCTCTCTTTTTTTAACAGTGGAAAGTGTGGAAGTGAAACATCCAAATGTTTAACACATTTGCAAAACAGTGTCAGGAATGAGACATTTCAACGGTTTTGATGGCAGCGCTCATTTCTGTGGCATGAGAAGCAATTACATCCATTCTTCTGGGATGCCCAGAAATGGGATTTGAATCTGAGGTGTTTGCCTTACTGCTTTTTCTCTCTCTGATTGCTGTCTCTATTACATCTCCATTCTCTATTAACAAGCCCCAGTGGCTGCTTTGGGGGGAAGCAGAGAGGGGACACTGATTTTTTTATCTTGGTAAGTCATGACCTCATTTATTTATATTGTGGTGGGAGTGTTGAAAGCGGAACTGTCTCTCTCTCAGCTACTGGTTGTGAGCTATCAAGTCTGGTCATACCCCCCTACCAGCTCTGAGAGTTTCCTCTCCCCCTTGGCTGTAGTTCTTGAGCTTACACTTGTATGGAAGCAGGTCAGGTTCTTGGGTTGTTTACTATGGAAATGAACTATGTGACCTCCACGCCCTCCCGCCTTCTCTTCCCCCAAGCACTCCCTTCAGCTAATTTTATCCCCACAGGCACTGGGAAGACAGATGCTCCATTCATTGCCTAGTGCTGATGAATATGAGAAAAGCATGGTAAGCCGTTCTGAGCTGGGTGTATACTCTCCAGTCCTGTTCCCTGGCTTCCATCCTCGCAAATCATTAATTAATTCAACCACAAGGATCCTCTTTATTTCCTTCTTAGTTTCCTTTTTGCATGCTCTTCCATTTAAACTCCGACAGTGATTTATTGAGCGATCTATTAGGATGTCTAAAGTGTGCTGTATTATCCATCTCAGGGCACACATGTATGCTATTTATTTAAACCTGCCCATGAGATTGCTTTGTCTTACCTTATTGCCTTTAGTGACTGATTAACCTCAGTGCCAAGATCCTGGAAACAGAGAGAGAGAGAGCGCGGTGGGAGAAAATTGATAAGGTCCTGGAAGCAGAAAGGAGAAAAGAAAGAGAGCTGGAACAGTGAAAGAGCCAGGACCAAAGATCATCAGCGACAGTGAGGATTCCAATCCTGACCCAAAGCAGGGTGGTGATACAGAAGAACTGTTGTTATTTGAGGGCTGCAGGGCCAGCGCTTCCACTAGGCGACCCTAGGCAGTCGCCTAGGGCGGCAGGATTTGAGGGGCAGCATTTTGCTGTC